ATAAGTCCCCGTTTTCGGACTTCGTCCGAACGGGGACTAAAAACATGCTCAGACCAAAAAAGAAATGCACAATATTATATAGAAACTTACAATTGTTCTCGAGACAGCTTCAACATCTTTCTCACCAAGTTTTCTCTTGAATTTACCATTTTTGAGAATATCAGCCCAACGACCCCAACTGTCATAAAAAATAAATTTGTCAGTAAAAAAAAAAATGGGCTGAAGGTTGCATTATTTTTATACAAAACCATATTGTGTTCTCCTGATCAGTAATAAAAGTTATCGTATCATTTATTTTCAGTGTCTAACACGTGTAAAATGACATCATTTCAAGAGATTCTTTCAGGCTTGCACATACAAATGACGTTCCAGTCATGGCAGTATATTGGTCTGTTAGTCTAACACATCCACAAGCGACTTTCTAGCCTTGGCCAGCCAGAACTTTTCACTCACCCATATGTGAGGAGACCTTTTTCCACTCTGAAGCATTCCACCCTGGTCCAACCGGTTTGTAACTGCTTCTTGGACACTTTAGCCTCTTCTTCACTATCACTCTCCGACGTAAAATCAAGAACTTCATCAAGATTCCCAAAGCGTCTAGTTTGTTTACGTCTCCTGGGTTCATGGATTATTCCAATATCCTAAAGATAACCAAAAAAGATGACTTAAAATTTGGTAAAAATTGCCTCCAGGAACATTAATTCAAGTACATAACACTGTAAGGTTTGGAGAAGACAATCATACTAAATCTGTTCAGTTTTTACAGACAATGTACAAGTTTGTAACTAACAATAACTTGTACAGCACTCAAATCTATAACAAGTTATGATTAACATTTATGGTTTTGGCCGCCGACTGTATTACACGAGATCTCTCGGAAGCAGACAAACATCCCAGACCAGAACCCAATCAAAATCTAACCTTGACACAAGGGTATGTTTGTGATAGCCCCAAGCCACAATCTGCAAATTACAAAGAATTTATTCATAGAATAAGTTGATTCTTACCCTAGATTTGATTTCATCTGTGTCCACATCAGCTTTCTTAGCCCACTTTTGCCAGAAATCTGGATCATCAAGTGAAATATCTCGTCTATCAGATGACGACACAAAACTAGCTTTAGCAAATGTAGATCCTTTGCCCTCCGATTCTATCTGAACTACTTGAGTACGTCTTTGGAGAATTTGATCAATGTCCTCTTCACAGAACTTTGAACTGGATTCATCATCATCCATGATAGCACCATAGGCACCTTTACGTAAAAGTTCTTCTATTTCTTTCTTTGACATGGCAGTTGGCTGTAACGGAAAATAAAGTCCTGTAATTTCCTTTTTTGTATTGGAGCACAAGAATATATTAATCATATCTGTAGTAGAAATGCACACAACTACTGAGCATTGTTGCATGTTGCCTTTCTTGCTCAGCCTACACACTTCTCAGACAAAATATGATCAAATTCATAAAAGACGTTCGTATTTTTAAGTCTAAAAAGAAGACTATACATATGCAAATCAGTTTCTTTCCAACAATAGAGCATTACTGTACTTATCAGCAGACATTTCTAGGCATACTCACTGCATTGGCGGAATCTTTATCTTGATGTCTCATTGACTGCAACACAGCTTTATCCAAACCAAGTTTCAAGCTAGCTCTATCAAACATTTCTCTTTCATAAGAGTTCCTTGTAATCAGTCTGTACACCTTTACCAATTTGCTTTGCCCAATTCTGTGACATCTTGCTTGGGCCTACAACAAATGTGACAACTATTTAATGACATCCTATAACGCATACATTGCCTCTAAAACACATGCCATAAACAGGATAAACATGGACAGTTCTTGATCAGTAAGTCAAAGATTTCTGCTCATGGTAAATCAGCAGTCTAACACGTGAAAAAAGCATCATTTCAAGAACTGCGCACTGTTAACCCAGCAGCAAAGTAATTCTTGTCTAATGTAGAACATATTTTCAGAAAATCCTAATATATTCACAAGCTGATAATAGGTCTTTGCACTGTGACATTATGAGTTTCCCTTTTGCCAACCACACTGCGAATGTCTGATGACAAATGACGCTTATTAACAACACTGGGCCCACGATTGGCTGTGACAATATTACCCAGAATTGTTTTATTAACAGGCCTACATCCATGTACATTTTAATAACAGCAGCAAACAGCGCAGTTATTTTATCTTCAACTGCAAACGAACTGCTCTTGCCAACCAGTCAACCACAACAAACAAGTGTGACAGCCTATAGACCCCATAGGTTTTTATTTTCAACTTACTTGGAGGTCGTTTTGTGGATTCCAGTCGGAATCAAATATGATCACTGTATCAGCAGCAGTAAGATTGATACCAAGTCCTCCAGCACGGGTACATAACAGAAATACAAATCTGTCAGAATCTGAATAAAAATCAAACCTAGAATTAAAATTTATTTTTCATCTTTGTGTATATGATTATTTTTAATACCGCATTACTGAGCTGATTTCAGAATAGTGAATGATCGTTTGGTTTATAAGCATTTGAGCCTTCTTGCTCCACTCAGAGAGGGACAAACTATATCATCATTAACAGCTCAGTTCTAGACCCCAGAGTAATGAGACTGACTGAAATTGTGGCGAGTAAAATTGAATACCTGGTTTGCTGAATCTGTCAATGGCAGCTTGTCTCAGGTTTCCTCTTACCCTACCATCAATTCGTTCATATGGATATCTGTCAAAAAAAAAGATTTAGAAAATAACTCAAGTGCTGTAACAAAATGACAACTAAGAAAAACACCACAAGGCAATAAAAGGAGGTCAATTCGTGATAAATTAAATTTGCAGTCAGAATTTTTATTAAACCAGCATAATTTAGCAAATTTAATAAGAGTTCAACTAAATTAAGATTCTTTTAAATGGCATGTAGCTATTAAACTCATTTTGTTTCACAATAGTCAAACTAATATATAAGCAACCACTCATATGGACTATTTTAATGAATAAAATAGTGCATATATTCAAGTGGTCTTTATATCCAGATTGGATAATTTTTTTATGGATCAACAATTCGTACATTTAACCAGAAGATAATGATATACCGATAGCACTGATGCAACAAAAAACGCATTTATTTATCCAAATCAAGTAAGTTTTTGGGAATTAAAAATTGTTTTTTTACAAACAGAATGCTAATTATGGTGGTCTCTAACACAGGTTGCTCATACATTATTGCCTTAGGAGTACCTAAAAGTGGTCACTATAGACAAGGGGCCTTTATAACACCAAGACAGGTCTGACAACTGACGATTGTTATACACATCATCCTATCTCCGTAAAACAGCAGCATGCAAGAATTCTGCAGTATTGAACAGCTTATCTGCATCATTCCTGATTTGGAAAGACAAATAAGGAATGCTAAGACTGTATAACCAACATGACAGATTTTGTATGGATCCTGTGTGAGAATGAAAACTCTCACCAACTTGTGGCTATAGGGAACTCTTGAAGTCACAAACTAAAATATGACTGAACCTGATTTCCTGTGTTTTTAACCCTTCCTTTTAATTCAATTTCTCCAAATTTTGTGACTACAATAGGATGTTTTTAAAGATCACTATCGACATCTATTATTTGATTCGACAATAATGAGCAAAAAAATTAACACAATTAGTTGCACCACGAAGGATAAGCGTGTTCCTGAAGTGTCACTGTGCAGTCAATGTTTCCAATATAGTTTCAATGATGTTCATTGCAGTCCAGTCTTGTCCATTTTATGAGTACACTATGAAGTTGAATAAAGCAAGAAATGCAGGCCTCTTACCTCTTCTGTAAAAGATAGTCTTCTAATATATCCAGACATTTAACCATCTGTGAGAATATAAGTACTTTATGTCCACCTTCTTTCAACTTTGGTAATAACTTGTCAATCAATACCATCTTACCAGCAGATTGAATTAAAGCTAATAACTGTCTAAGGTAGTTATTTTCAGGAAAATCCAACATAATCTGTTCTTCAGCTCCTGTAAATTAAAGATGTTAAATAATATGCATTTTAATTAAGGTTTTGTGATTTACTCATAAAGCATTAAACCCAACTCTGACAACTAGTTTGAAATGAGAATACGTCAAATGCATACAAATGAATGCAAAGTTTGTAACTATTTTGGGTACAGACACAAAAGGTCAGACACTGCAGGAATAATCAATTCTCATAATGATTTTTCAGAATTACAATTTTTTTTTTTTTACATGCACAATTACACAACTGCATAAATCCTTCAAAGTAATGACACCATGTGACAAACAATAGTTGTGACAATGTTGAAATATATACAACTCACCATTTATAAGAAACGGGTGATTACAACATTTTCTGAGTTCCATCATTGTATTCATCAAATTAGGCACATTGGCATTAGATCCTGACCCCTTGGCAAGAAACGAAAAGTTTCTCTCTAAAATGGCACGGTAATATTTCTTTTGAATATTAGTTAATTCAACCTTGAAACAAAAGAAAGAATCAACATTAATCATAATCTATTTGTAAATCATCTCAATTTTAAAATTTCACATTGCGCATTAAGAACTTATTTGAGTTAATGAACAGAGCTTATTTCAGAAATGTGAATGATCGTTTGTTTTATAAGCATTTGAGCCTTCTTGCTCCACTCAGAGAGGGACAAACTATATCATCATTAATAGCTCAGTTTAGAAATCAAAATCTTGTATTTGTGTGTTGCCAAGATGAATCAAGTTACATGAATCATAGATTGAATTGCAAGAGATAATGAAATGCAGATGGATGCGATTCAAGCATCCAAGTGAAGTTTATAAAGAAAGTGTGTCAACGTACACACAGTCAAAAATAATAGTGTCACTCCTTGCTAGCATTATTGGATGGAAACAGACTGAATGGCACCAAAAATTCATACATGAACATTTTACTCACCTCTATAATAGTTTCTTCTTTGGCAGCCAAATTCTTCTCTACATCCTCCTTGAGTCGTCTAAGCATCATTGGTTTTAGCAACTAAAAACAAATTATATTAGAAGCATTCAGCAGTGTTCTCCCCAAAGCGTTTTAGCGTAGCGGGGCCGCTACTCCATTATTTATGCCGCTACTCTGAGAGATTGCCCGCTACTCTGTGGCATTTCCTGTTACTCTTTGTTTTAGCTTATTAATACACGTGCGAATCTGTTAGTCAGCGTCATCAGCGTCCGGTACTGTGAGCCAAATCAGGTGTGAATGGAAACATGTCAGTGATTACGCAAAGACAATGGACTAATACAGCTTCGTACTTCGACAATAAACACTTTCGCCCTATTTAATTGGGGTAATAGCGAGTATTTTCTCAGTAGCATATTTGGCTGGAAGAAGCAACGATGTCAAACAGCAGAAATATTACGTTGTGGTTCCGCGTAGAACGCCCTGCTGGGCCCCTGGTTGCGAGCGATAAACCCACCAGCAACGCGGTCACCGGTACCCCTGTCGGCAGTGGTACTAAACGTGTCCAAGATGATGTTACAACGAAAAGTGCAAAAAAATAAACTCTAGATTTGATGCACAATGGACAACAAAATATACGTGGCTGAGAGAAACATCCGATGGCAAAGGTAAAAAAAGTATTTATTTGTAGCGTTTTACTTGAAGCGAGTTTTGACCTAGTTTAGTAAATTTTGTATGGCTTCATTTTTGCCGATCGTCGAAACATTTTTTGAAACGACTTCTTTCTGGAAGTCAA